AAGACAAACTCAATAGACTTAAACAGCACAATACATGTAAATTAGGAAAAAACCAGAAGAAAGCTGACCAGCAAGCAAACATGATCTTTTTCATCGTAAAAAAGGAGGGGCAAGTTAAGCCCTTGTAATAAGTTTATGAAATATTGATACACGAAAAGAGAAAATTACTAGTCAATGGAATGTCGTTTAATGTGGTGCTGACTAGTCACAAGACAAGTAACAAATTGCCAATAATCACACCCACTAGCAATAAGACAATCTGTTTCAATTATGAAGGTTGCTTTTTTGAGTGGTTGCTCGGTGGAAGAAGAAAATTAACAGATGTAGACATGTCAGTTACCCCACTTAAAGTTCTCAAACTTGCAGTATATACTGAAACGAGCGTATCAAGGTTTGCATTAGTCGTATAAACTAAAGAAATTTGGAATTTGATTTCAATTGCGCACCTATAGCTACACCATTATTTCTTTCAGCATTCCAGGTTATTATTCTAAAAAGAAAAACACTCACCTGTCGCTGCCTTGGGTGGGACCTGGGAAGGGAAGCTGATAGATTTAGACATATATAAAGTTGACTAAGTTTGCAAAGTTGTGCAATTTGTATCACTCATTACCATTCAATAAATTTGAAATGTGATTTGAAATCCGACCTAAAGATAGTTAAAAGATGTAGACATTTCAAACACCTCATGAAGGTCGACCAAAAAAAACAGTACATCCCATTGAAGTTCTCAACTACGACCTTAACAAGCTCTATATCACTTGTATGAATTTAAAAAATCTAAAATTTGATTTCGAGTACACACACCCATTGCTGTACCATTATAATTGTTTCTTTTGGCAATTTTTGGAAAAAATTTCGTGTAGTATATTTATTAGACTTTTCATCTTGATTAAGTAAAAGCTTAATTTTGAGTCTTATATTAATAAAATGTTATAATTAAATTTATTATATATGCATTAAGGTTTTTTAATAGAATCCATAGCATAGTTAATGCAAATTTACATTTAAGATAATAATTAAATTTTCATTATTATTATTATTATTTGGCTGCAGTTAAATTATCATTTCTCAAACTCAAAAAATTATTTTTTTTTATTATTTTAGATTGTATAATAAATAATAATTCTAATTTTTTAATTTATCACACTTTCATGTTATGTCTCATAATTAAAAGGTAAAATTATA